TCCTATGAGTATATGCGCTAGCCTCGACAAAATCAATAGAAATTTTCTTTGGGGTAACAAGGGAGATAGAAGTCGAATTCATCTAGTCAATTGGGATGAAGTTTGCAAACCAAAGGAAAAAGGTGGTTTGGGCATTCGAAAAGCTCGGTATAATAACATGGCCTTAATCTCTAAATTGGGTTGGGACATCATGATGGATACTCCGAAGCTTTGGGTGAAAGTTTTCAAGGCGAAATATATCAGAAACTCTTCATTTTTCGAAATTACAAAAAATCACGAACCTCTCACACATGGCGGGACATCTTGGATAGCAGGGATATCATTCGGAATGGGCTGGGATCGCGGATGGCAAGTGGGAAATGGTGAGAACATATCATTCTGGTTTGATATTTGGGTGAGGGATAGGCCTCTTTATGAAGAAATTGGATCTCCGTTAGCAGCAAATGCAGGGCAAGTCAGAGTGGCGGATTTACTAATGAATAACAAGGATTGGAATATTGCCAAACTGGATACTTTACTCCCAGAAGAAGTGGTCGAGGATGTGAGAGCGATACCTATTCCTATGGCAAAGGATTATCCTGATGGCATTTACTGGAGGCTATCTGCAGCAGGTGAGTTTTCTGTAAAATCAGCCTATAATTCTATGTTTTTGTCACAGGATACAGACGATTGGAGCTGGGTATGGAAGGTTCGGGTGGCTGAAAAGATCCGATGTTTTCTTTGGCTTGTGATAAAAAAACAAAGTGCTCACAAATGTGGAAAGATGGAGAAGGAATCTGACTGATGATAAAATATGCCCAATATGTAATGATGAGGAAGAAACGGTGCTTCATCTGCTCCGGGACTGCCCCTTTGCAATAGAAGTTTCGCAGAGGAGTTTACAAGGTGGCCATAGAAGAGGAGATACCAGCTCAAGTAGTCTAGAGTGGGTTCGAAGCCACTGTAACTCTAGTAGTGATGTTTCTGGGAGAACCACACATGCCTCAAAGTTTGCATATACTGCGTGGATGATCTGGAAAGCTAGAAATGAATGGATTTTTGAGGGTGTACAACTAAATGTGGACAAGCTTGTATGGAAAGCCCAATTTTTAGCTGATGAATATACAGGTACGACATCTCTTGATTGTTTCAAGCAACGTAAAGAGGCTAAAATTGTTAAATGGATTCCTCCAGAACCAGGATATTTTAAACTTAACTGTGATGACTCTAGTCGAGGAAAGGGGAAAGAGGCCGGGGCTGGTGGGCTGATACGTAATCATAAAAGAGAATGGGTTAGCGGTTTTTGTATTAATATTGGAAAATCTGATAGTTTTAAAGCTGAACTTTGGGGCTTAGGACAAGGTTTGTTACTAGCGAGGGAGCTAGATCTGAATAGAGTTATTGTTGGGTTTGATTCTGAGAGCATGTTCAAAGCTGTTAATAAGAGCGATGGTTGGAACAAAAATAGTATAGGGGTGCTAGTTCGGGATTGCCAGAAGCTTCTTGGAGAGGAAAGGTTTGTCACGGTTCAACACACGTTTCGAGAAGGTAATAGAAGTGTGGATGTTTTAGTGTATGCGGCTCATGCAGTGCCTTTGGGACTTACTATTTTTCAAGAGGCTCCTGCATGGATAAAAATTCCTCTTCTTGAGGATGCTAACAGTCTAGAGAACATTAGATTTTAATTTCCTTTTTTTTTCAGTTTGTCTTTCTTTTCCGATGTAATAAAAAAAAGGAAGAATTGCAAAAATAGGATTACTATGTTTTATTTAACAAAAATAGGACTAAAAAGAGGTAATCTTACAAAATTACCCTTAATAAAATAAAACTAACTCTCCCAGGCTCTCCCAGGAGTGCGCTTCTGAGAAGACTCTAGCCCCGTTGAATTCTTCGGCCAAGCTTTGCTCCCATCTTAATCTTGGTCTATGAAGCTTCTTTACTGCCATCCTCTGCTCAAGAATTTTTCATTATTAGATGCAGGAGGAAGTAGCTCCCTATTTCAAATAGCACGTCATTCTTCTTCACTTCTTCCTCCTCTCCTTCTCCTTCTCCTTCTTCTCATCTTCTTTGATTTTGAATCTTATTTATTGATTTTGATTAATCTTGAATTTAAGAATTGCGAAGCAGGAAGGTAGAAGATGGACGAAGTTGTTTCAGGAAATATCTCAGATGCGAATTAGGCAAGGGGTTTGCTTTGGACATATCAGGCGAGAAGGGAATTGGGTTGCGCACTGTTTGGCCCAAGAACAGGTTTCCAGTCTGGTTTATTATTCTCATTTAGATATTCTTCCTCTGGTTGCTAAACGCTATTTTTGGATGGATTTTTATGGTATTCCTTCTATTAGAGAGTAATTTGCTCGGGTCAGGTTTGGCCCCCCCGAGTGTATTGATTCTGATCATCTTTAATAAAACTCTGGTAAACGTCCCCGGCGCTTAACCCACTGATTTTGGTGGTTGACCTTTCGGGGTTAAAAAAAAAAAAGAATGCCATAAAAATAATAATACTTAGAAAAAATGTCACTTTTATGACATTCCACCTATTAAGATGACAATATCATTTTGAAACTATAAAACTCTAGAATGTCATATTTTTATCTGTTTCACAAAATAATGTCAGTTTTATGCAACTAACTTTATAAAGATGACGTTTTCTTACTGAACTTTAAATTTTACATGTTAATGGCATTTTTTTACTAACTTTATGCCACTTGATATGAATAATGACATGTTAATGGCATTTTCTTATTTACATGTGACATTCTCAAATTGCTATTCTTACACAATGTACTATCACAAACGTGACATTTTTTCAAATAACCAATACTTTTGACATTCTCAGATTATGAAAGTGCATTTTTCTCAAAAAATAAAATTCAAATCCAAAACAATCCAAATCAATACATAATATCCAAAAACCTATTTAGAATTTAAAAAGGTAGTAAATGAATAGAAGAAAAAAAAAACAGAAAACAAAGTGCATGAGGGGGAAGAAGTGCACCAGGGGAAGAGGAAGAAAGAAGAAAGAAAAAGAAGAGGAGGAGGAGGAGGAACTTACCTACGATTGACGGCGGAGGTGCAAAGCCATAGTCGGTAATGGAGCTGCAGTCCATGGGAGGAAAGGATTTGCGCATGTGTGAAGCGGCTGCCTGCTGCGATGAATTTTTGCAGCCGATCGAGAGAAAACCGATGAAGTGCAGATGAATGTGAAGGGTAGAATGGTAATCGGCGGTCCTATTTAGGAAATTTAAAACATGTAGTCCTATTATGGAATTTTGAGTATGCTTTAGTCCTATTAAGATCAATTTCTTTATGGTTTAGTGTCTTGTATTAAATTTTTAAGGAATATAATGGATAGGGGTCATAACGACTATGAAATGAAAAAAATTGAGTTGAAATTTGTTATTTGTCTATAAAAGAAATTTAACTATAATTTCAAACTTTTTATTTTCATAGTCCTTATAATACGTTCTGATGAAAAAAATACTACTACCTTCATCCTATTTTATGTGTCTTATTTTGATTTGACATAATTATTAATGAAGTGATTGAAAAAGTAAAAGTTGTAGTTGAGATTTGAATATACTAAAATGAAATGGAGTAGACTACATATTTCTTTCCAAAAAAGAAAATGAAACACTTATTTTGAGACAACTCAAAAAGATTAGTAGAACAAGTAAAATGGGTCACGGGAAGTACATGGTAATTATTTCCACTTTTAAATGTAATATATTAAGAAATCACAAAGCATGATGAGCAATAAATCCAAACATTTTTTTGAAAGGAATCCCAACACAATTTATTAATCATAACAGGTTAGATGACTTTTTATAATCATTAAATATATTATATACTTAAGAGATAATGAAAAATAAGCTCCATAAAGCTCATCACAATTATCTCTAGAAGTATACTACGTAACATTATAAGATGAAACTAAATGTTATTCCTAGGCAAGCTACATAAAGTTAACCATAATCATATTCACTAGTGCTGGACTCGGGCCGGGCGGCCCGGCCCGGAACCGGCCCGGCCCAGTTACTGTGAGGCCCGGCCCGGCCCGGAGCCCGGTGGGCCCACCGGTTCGGTTCGGCCCGGCCCGGCTGCTGGGCGGTTCGGGCTCGGGCCGAGGTTTTGGCGAACCGGCCCGGCCGGTTCGGGCCCGGTTCGGTTCGATTTTTAATTTTTTTTTTTTTTTTGAATTTTTTTTAAGTTTTGGGTTGGATTAGGTATTTTGGGCCACTTGAGGTGGTTTGGGGTAGTTTGGGGTTGAGGGGGAGGGGTTGGGGGTTAAATAGAAGAGCCAAAAAAAAAAATATTTCCGGGTAGGCCCGGCCCGGTTTGGCCCGGAACCGGAACCGGAACCGCCCACCGGCGGTTCGGGCCCGGGCCCAACTATCCTGGCCCGAGGCCCGTCCGGGCCCAGGCCCGAACCGGGCCCGAACCGGCCCGAGTCCAGGACTAATATTCACTAGGCAAGAAAAATCACTGAAGAATTGTTATTCTAATTAATTTTACTATATGACTCCTAGGCATGGCCTCGGTTCGGGCCGCCCGGCCCGGGACCGGCCCGACCCGCTACTGTGCGGGCCCGGCCCGGCCCGGTTATCCGGGTCCGGGTCCAGTTCGGGCCGGAGGCCCGGGGGTGGGGCGGTTCCGGGCTCGGTTCATGGTTTTGACGGCCCGGCCCGGCCGGTTCGGGCCCGGGTCTGGGCCAAATCTATTTTTTTTTTAATTTTTTTCATTTGTTTTGGGGTGTTGGGCTTGGGCTATCTGTTTAGGCCGGTTTGGGGGGGTTTGGGGGGGTGGGGGGTGGGGGGGTAGGGGAAGAAAGGAAAAAAAAAAAAAATTAAACCGGGTGGCCCGACCGGCCCGGCCCGGCCCGGCCCGGAACCGGACCCGGAACCGGTGGCCACCGGTTCGGGCTCGGGCCCAACAAAACAGACCCGAGGCCCGGCCGGGCCTAGGCCCGAATCGGGCCCGAACCGGCCCGGGTCCATCCATGATGACTCCTCCACGGCTCCACCAAATGAAATAGGTACTCCAAATATGAGTGTACTTCGTAAAGTTGATACCGAGCTAGCAAAAAACATTTTGAACTTCCAATCCAGCAAAACAAGTTGACTACACATAGCCAAACCCCTTGGATTTCATGCAACAAATGCATGGGAAAACCTAGATGGCAGGATGGCTGGCCTACTCATACTTGGAATCCATGAAAACAACTCGAGCTTGTGGGGATGAGCGGGAGCAGCACATGATTTCCTCTAGGATCTGCATATCCTTGCAGTCAGGTGATTTCGTAATAACAAGTTCCTCAAGGGCGGGTGACTTAAAAGGATTGTCTTGACAAACTGCACTTCAAGTCTGAATCCACAAAAGATTTGAATCTTCACTGTTTTAAGCATTTTCAGTTCCTTCTTAATAACACAGCCGTAGGGATTCGCCAAAAGTCTGGAAACATATTCACCGTTGCCTCTCTGTGTGCCCTAAGTACATACCACGGAAAAGAGAAATCTAAACAGCATATGCTTGACTTGTCATAATTTGGAGAGAATAATGAACACAAAGTCATAATGGCCAAATCAATCGGTAAATAATTGGTCTTATATAATCAAATGTCTCAATTCCAAGTTCACATAGCTTTGGGCATTTTTGAATCAATTCAATAACAAAAGTGAAGTGCTCTGCACCAAAAAAATTGGCATTATGAATCACAACCACTCTCAGATTTGTTGCATTTGGGAACATCTGTGCAGCTACTGCGTCAGGTGAATCCTTTAAAGAAAACAGAACAAAAATTAACCTTGGAATATCTGTAACAAGTCAGAGTGAAGAAACATAAGAAACAAAACTAAATATTTCATCATCACATCTGCATAACAAAGTGTAGAAGTAAAAGTTTATTCTTACCGACAACACATCTACATGCAAATGAAGAGTACTGATTACAGCAAAATGGAGCACAAACCATCTGAAATCAGTCACCCTTTCAAAATTACGGTCAGTAGTCAAGCACTTGAGTTTTGGCGCGCTAATCACAAAATTTTGAATCCGAGGACAATTGTCAAAAGAGAGCTTCTCGGGATTTGGAACACTATAGACTGTTCCAGTGAGATCAGGCTCAAATAAAACATAGTCAAAAGACAATGAAGTGACACCAGGAAGCACACTATGTGAATTAACAGGGAAGCCAAAATCCACCGCACGAAGTGCGAGTTGCTTAATTGTTGGGCAAGTTACTATACACTCATGAAGATTATATGTTTCTTTGTGATTATCAACAGAGATGTGAAGCTCCTCAAATGCCATTTCTCGACAGAAACAGACACCAACGGTCTATATCCGCTGGGAGTGGTAAGGGAATTTTTCCACGGAGAAGATAATCCTCAAACTGTGAAACCACCAGCGTAAATTTCTTAATGGGTCCTGTCCGGAGCATGACTGTTAAGAACTCGCGTATAAGACCTTGTCCAAGGTCTCAGACGAGATCTCAGGAGAGAAGAAGAGCCTACTGAGACCTTAGTATCAATATTGTTATACTAGGATTATCGAATGAGGCAAGAATAAATACGAAGAGTCTTCAGGAATTAATCGGTGCCCGACCTAGTCAAGACACATCAAATTAATTCTCCAAAGGTCCGTTATTGAACAATATTAGGTCCCTTTTATAGAGATTACAAGAGTCCTAATAGGAAGCATAAGGATATTAGGAAGTTTCCTAATTTGAATTAGGAAATAACTAAGAATAGGAAATAACTGGATCTGACTAATTAAATGCTGCCAGGAAGTTTCCTAATTTGAATTAGGAAATAACTAAGAATAAGAAATAACTGGATCTAACTAATTAAATGCTAATTAATTAAATGCTGCCACTTGCCAATCTGCCAGCTTTCCTTATTCTCGTGGTCAGCCATCTAGAGTATTCTGATCTTCCCCGATTTGACCAACTAATTCCCCTGAACCTAACCGTCCACGTCTCCGTTGATATACTTGTCCATAGAATGGATCCATAACATCACTCCCCCCGTTAATTAAAAGCTTGTCCTCAAGCTTGAACTCAGGAAATGTGGATTGAAATGTATCCAATGACTCCCATGAAGCTTCTTCCTTGAGCTGCCCCTGCCATTGGACCAGGAGTTCCATCTGGCCATCATGCTTCCGGCTGCGGAGAACTGCAGTGGGCTGAAGAGAAGAACGAGGTTCGTCAAGTGGTGGAAAATCTCTTATACTTTGTGGGATAGGCCCGTGATGTGGTTTGAGCAATGAAACATGAAAAACATTGTGGATACGACAATCTGCCGGTAGGAGAAGCTGGTAGGCAGTTGCCCCAATTCTCGCTTGCACCTGAAACGGCCCATAAAAGCGAGGTAAGAGCTTATGATGGCGCTTGATTAGTGACACCTGCCGATAAGGATGTACCCAAAGCCATACCCAGTCCCCTATTTCAAATGATAGATCACGATGGCCCTTATCAAACTGTTGCTTCATCCGCTGTTGCGCTTGCATTAATCGATTCCTTGTTGTGGCTAGCAAGATGTCACGATCAATGAGCTCCCTCTCGACCCCTTCTAATTGGGTTGTTCCTGGTGTATGTGCCACGAGTTTGGGAGGTTCACGCCCATACACAATGCGAAATGGAGTATCACCCAACGCCGTATGATAAGATGTATTGTAACAGTATTCAGCCCATGGAAGCCAACGAACCCATTCCCGAGGGTAATCACTCGTTAAGCAACGCAAGTACATGCCCACAGTGCGGTTAACGATCTCTGTTTGGCCATCAGTTTGCGGGTGATAAGCTGAGGAAAAAGCCAACTTTGTACCGGCCAAACGAAACAATTCGCGCCAAAATGCACTGATGAAAACTTTATCACGGTCCGATACAATAGATTCAGGTAAGCCATGAAGACGGAAGATTTCAGCAAAGTACACTCCAGCTACAGATACAGAAGTATACGGGTGGCTTAATGGAATGAAGTGTGCCGCCTTTGATAACCGATCCACCACAACGAGAATAACTGATTTCCCTTTTACCTTCGGTAAACCCTCAATAAAATCCATTGTAATATCTGCCCAAATGTGTTGCGGAATGGGGAGTGGTTGAAGCAACCCTGCTGGCTGTAGGTTCAGCCACTTATGTTGTTGGCATACTTGACAGTCACGAATGTACTAGGCCACTGTGAGCTTCATGTTTGGCCAGTAAAATTCCTTACGTAAGCGGTGTAATGTCTTCTCAATGCCCTCATGGGCCATGCCATGGAACACAGATAGTATGCTAGGAATAATATAGGACGAGGGCAGCAAATACAATTTATGTTTATAGTAAAGCAACCCATCTTGAAATGTCCAGTCTTCTGTGGTCGTCCCGGCCAACACTTGTTGTTGAATGGCCTCAATCTCTGGGGATGCTGCCTGGGCAGTCCGAACCTCATCTAGTAGCGTGGATAGCGGCACCGTGAGTGAGGCGAGAATGAGTGGAGTTTCATTCTGTCGAGATAGTGCATCCGCGACTGTGTTGAAACGCCCTGGTTTATATTCCACACGAAACGTAAAACCCATCAACTTACTTAGCCAATGTTGTTGAGGTGATGTGGTGAGGCGTTGCTCGAGTAAGTATTTCAGGCTAGAGTGATCTGTTCGTATCAAAAACTGTTGACCCCATAAGTAAGGCCTCCAATGAGTCACTGCCTTAGCAAGACCAATCAATTCCCGTTCATAAGCTGCCAATTTGATATGTCGGTCTGCAATTTTCCTGCTGAAGTAGGCGATGGGGTGACCCTCTTGCTGCAAAACTGCACCAAACCCACTTCTTGATGCATCGCACTCGACGATAAACTCCTTAGAAAAATCTGGAAGTTGGAGGACCGGGGCAGTGGATAAACAAGTCTTCAGTTGACAAAAAGAGGAGTTAGCTGCTGCTGACCAGTCAAACCCATTCTTCTTTAGGAGTGTGGAAAGGGGAGCTGCAATTTCGCCATAACGTGCAATAAACTTGCGATAATACCCTGCTAGGCCCAAGAAACTGCGCAAGGCCGTGACAGATTGTGGGGTTGGCCAATCCATGATAGCTTGTATCTTGGTGCGGTCAACTTCTACTCCACCGGCGTGGATAACATGCCCCAAATAGTTAACAGAAGTAGCTCCGAAGCTGCATTTTGACTCCTTAAGGAACAAATTATGGGTACGCAGGATGTCCAAGACGTGGCGTACATGGGCCACATGAGCAGTCCAAGACTTGCTATAAATGAGAATATCGTCGACGAATACCAGGACAAACTTTCGTAAATAAGGAGCAAGAATGTCATTCATCAAACTCTGGAAGGTGGATGGTGCATTAGAGAGGCCAAACGGCATCACCAGAAATTCAAAATGTCCATGGTGTGTCCGAAAAGCGGTTTTTTCTATGTCTTCAGGTGCCATACGTATCTGGTGGTAGCCTGAACGGAGATCCAACTTGGTAAAATATGACGCTCCATGAAGTTCATCCAATAATTCATCGATCACCGGAATGAGGAACTTATCCTTGACTGTCTTGGAATTAAGTTCCCTATAATCCACACAGAACCGCCACGAGTCATCGGATTTAAGGACCAAAAGTACCGGTGAGGAGAACGGGGATCGACTTGGCTGGATGATTCCTTGAGTGATCATCTCCGCACATTGACGCTCTATTTCATCTTTTTGCAGATACGGGTAGCGGTAAGGACGTACAACCACTGGTCCTGCTCCAGGGATTAAGCGTATGCGGTGGTCACATGTCCTCTTGGGCGGTAACCCTACTGGTGTCCTAAAGAGGTCCTCAAATTGGACAAGAAGGCCAGCCAGAGAAGGAGGTGTTTGGGCTATGCCTACTGCCATAGTTGCAGTGAGCGGAGGGGAAACATCATGCCCATGCCATTCAACGGAGGTGTCTTCCCATGTAAAACGCATGGACAAGCGTGTAAAATCCCACATAATTGAACCAAGTCCACGTAACCAGTGTACTCCCAAAATCATGTCAAATCCGGCAAGTGGTAAGATGTAAAAATCTGCCGTGAAAGTCTTACCTTGGACTTCAAACTCCAATCCCGGACAAGTACCGATAATTGGGACTTTGTCACCATTGGCCACAATGACATGCAACCGGTTATTACGCAGGGGTTGATTTATTAGATTAGTCGCCAAACGCTCATGCACAAAATTGTGAGTGCTACCCGAATCTACCAAAATTATAATGGGACGGTTCTGGAGGGTAGCATGAATCTGCATAGTTGAGGACGAGCCAAATCCAGTCATTGCATGGAGTGACAATGTTGGTTCGATCGCGGTCTGTGACGTGTGATCCTCCTCGAGTTGGTCATCCTCCACAATTTCCACAAAGAATAGCCTCTTACAGCGATGACCTCGAACCCATTGGTCATCACAATTATAGCACAACCCTTTTTCACGTCGTATGGCTGCCTCGGCACGAGAAATTTTTTTGAAAGTTGGATTAGAACTACGACGAGATAAACTGGAATCAATAAGTGTCGTTCCTGAAGCATTCAGTCGAGAGGATGGTTGGGGCCGTATTATAGAGTCAGTCGAGGCAGTCGGGGTTTGGTACTTCCGCTCAACGGTTCGAGCCAACATCATGGCAGTGTCAAGATCGAGGGGGTCCTGGTACTCTACTTCCATGCGCACCAACTCACGTAGCCCGGCAGTGAAAATTTTGACCTGCATGCGGACTGAGATGCCAACTGTGTGTGCTAGTAATTGCTGAAACGTTTCAATATAGGTCTCCAAATCTGATGTCTGCCTCAGTTTGGCTAGGTCACCTTCTGGGTTGGCACTGCATGGAGGTCCAAAACGTTTTGAACACTTTGTATAAAAGTCGGTCCAATTGACTCCTGTACCTGCAGAGTCTAACTGGTCAGCCCATAGTTGAGCGGTACCGACCATGTGAAAAGTAGCTAACCCCACTCGGTTCTGGGGAGGGGTTTTTTGTTGAATAAAAAACCGCTCGCAGCGTTTAAGCCATGACAAGGGTTCCGTTTTTCCATCATATTGGGGAAACTCCAATTTAGAAAAACGTGGAACCATAGAATCCTCAGTGTGGCGCTGGTGCTGCTCGGTATCCCTGCGTCGTCCCTGTCCGAATGGCTCACAGGAGTTGTCGGTCAGAACCTGCTGGACAGCAGTGGTCAATGCTGCGATGGATTTCTGCATCTCGGTGAAGGCTGTGGGCAGGCTAACCAAACCAGAAACCGTGGTTTGAAGGGCTGCCAGTTGATCCTCAACATCGATCTGGCGTTGGTCGAAGCCTTCAAGGAGACTCTTCATGTTTTCTGTTGCAGCAGAATCTGGTCCCGTTCCCATCGTTCCTGATGCTGATACCAAATTGTTAAGAACTCGCGTATAAGACCTTGTCCAAGGTCTCAGACGAGATCTCAGGAGAGAAGAAGAGCCTACTGAGACCTTAGTATCAATATTGTTATACTAGGATTATCGAATGAGGCAAGAATAAATACGAAGAGTCTTCAGGAATTAATCGGTGCCCGACCTAGTCAAGACACATCAAATTAATTCTCCAAAGGTCCTTTATTGAACAATATTAGGTCCCTTTTATAGAGATTACAAGAGTCCTAATAGGAAGCATAAGGATAATAGGAAGTTTCCTAATTTGAATTAGGAAATAACTAAGAATAGGAAATAACTGGATCTGACTAATTAAATGCTGCCAGGAAGTTTCCTAATTTGAATTAGGAAATAACTAAGAATAAGAAATAACTGGATCTAACTAATTAAATGCTAATTAATTAAATGCTGCCACTTGCCAATCTGCCAGCTTTCCTTATTCTCGTGGTCAGCCATCTAGAGTATTCTGATCTTCCCCGATTTGACCAACTAATTCCCCTGAACCTAACCGTCCACGTCTTCGTTGATATACTTGTCCATAGAATGGATCCATAACAGAGACATCGGTTTATTATTTTGGTGCAATCTTTGGGTTCATCTTCACTGTCATATTGTGGAAAATTTGAGAAGTCCAAATCGAAAACCAGCTGGCCGAGAGCATACCAGGCATCCTTCCAGCAAGTTGAAAGCACAGCCATTCTGGCGGCTTCACGTATGTTCAGCAACTCTAGAATTGATTCCTTCAGCTCTGCCGGGAGTTGACTTATAAAGTCATTTCTTGCGCCTGATGTGGTTTTTCTTCGACAAACACTAGCCATTACGCTGATAAAGAAAAATGTGCTACACATTTGTAATTGAGCTTAATGCTAAAGAACATAGATGGATACATGGATCAATGGATGTATATGATGCATTTGCTAATCACAATAATCTGCATTAGTTAGGATATAGACATATAGTATACATGCACGCCAAGCAGACTTAAATTACATCACATGCTCTGCATGAACTTAACCTGAAGATTATTACTTCTGTTAACAAATAGGACCACTTATATTAGCAAATGGAACTACTTATTATTGAAATATATTGATATTTACTCATCCCCATTATTTTCATATGTCCTGTTTACTTGTTGGGATACATAGCCACATGGGGTACATGTTCTTGCATGAGCCATGCATAGTGTTTCGTTTCTTATCATATGTACTTCGTATTACATTATATATACCCTGCGAGAGGTTTAATAAGAACAAGAGAGCATTACCTTCTCTTTTAGAATTCTCTCTTCAAATAGTTTCATAAATTGATAATTACTATCAATTTTATCATGGTATCAGAGCCGAACTCCTGAAAAAAAAAAATATTTTTTGTGGCTAAGCTATGAACGTTGGCAATATTGAAGCCAATCATGAAGCTATGAGTCCCTCTTCTTCTGGTGCTCAAGTGAATATGGCAAATATATTGTCACATGCTCGCTCGTGGATAATTGACTCTGGAGCTACGGAGCATATCACTTGTAGTAATATTAATCTTTTTAATATGGCTAACACCGCGCCGGTGTCACCGGTTAGAATTCCTAACGGTGAATTAGTTCCAGTTCATGCCGTTGGTAGTTTATATTTACCCAATGGGTTTCTTCTTAAACGTGTTCTATTTATTCCAAAATTCTAGTGTGACTTACTTTCGGCTAGTCGCCTAACAAGCGATCTAAATTGTACACTCACATTTTTCCCAGACTTCTGTGTTTTACAGGACTTAACCTCGAGGAGTTTGATTGGTGTGGGTAGATTCCGTGATGGTCTCTACTATCTAGAGTCTCCGAGAGGTGAGGGGGTGGCAATGTCAGTCCGTACTACCTCCGATTTATGGCATCAACGTCTAGGACATGCATCTGATGGGAAACTACATCACATTGATTTTCTCAAAGGCCTCAGACGGAGCAAGATCTTTGTGATCCCTGCATAAGAGCTAAGCAAACTAGACTATTTTTTCCTACAAGCACCATTAAGACAACTTGTTGTTTTGAACTAATACATTGTGACATATGGGGAGGCTATAGATGCGATCCAATTTCTGGTGCGCGATATTTCCTATCTATTGTTGATGACTACACTAGAGGTGTGTGGGTTTATTTAATGAAAAATAAATCCGAGGTTCCAGAACTTCTAATTCAATTTTGCAACATGGTTACTACACAATTTGAGCAAAAGGTTAAACGTATACGGACTGATAATGGAGTGGAATTTCAAATCAAAAATTTATTTGATTATTACAGACATACTGGGATATTATTGGAAACGTCATGCACAGACACACCACAACAAAATGGAGTTGTGGAACGAAAGCATAGACACATTTTGGAAATTGCAAGGGCACTTCGTTTTCAGTCTGGGTTACCTATTGATTTTTGGGGGGAATGCATTTTGACTGTTGTTTATATCATAAATAGGCTTCCATCTCCTATCATTTTTAATAAAAGTCCTTACGAAATGTTATTTGGAAAAGTTCCTGGCTATGATCATCTAAGAGTATTTGGGTGTTTGGTATACGCTCATGATAATAAAAGAAAAGATAAATTCAGCGAAAGGGGGAGTCCTTGTATTTTTATTGGATATCCATACGGACAGAAGGCATATCGAGTTTTTTGATTTGCAGAAACACTCCGTATATACGTCTAGGGATGTAACCTTTTTTGAAGAAATTTTCCCGTTCAAAAATGTGAACAGTCAAGAGATGGAATTTGGAGCAATGGTTGATCATGCATGTCAAATTATCTTAAATCAATGCCCCATACGTACCCATCATGGTCCCTCCAATTATTATCCTCCCATCACTAAAATGCAGCCACCATCAATTATACATGAGAAAGATGGGATTGATTCTGTCAACCAAGACAACTGGTATGAGCAACCAAATAATGCAGCACTAACCGACCCTAATGAACAGCAATTGCATGGGGCCCAAGGACAGCAGCCGCATGAAATGTCAGTCCTCTCTCCCAACTCACATGAGATTATTTACGTACGTCAACGGCCAGCTGCGGAGGGAACCTCTCAACAGCAATCGATGGGTGAAGCGGTCAGCACCTCTCGTTCGGATTCGGAAACAGACAGAGAAATCGGTAGGGCACCTCCTTCACCTATCACGTCTCAATACAATGCACCGCCAGAAGAGCCAAAACGCGGAGAAAGGGTTAGGAAATGTCCCAAACGCTTGCAGGATTACGAGGTTGACTTGCCCCCCTCACTTGATCATTCACGGACTACCACCAATTCAGTCAACTCGACGGTATATCCTATTTCTCACTTTGTTAATTATGAAAATTTAGCCATACTCACAAAATCTATTTAGCAGCCATCACCTCACGTGATGAGCCAAAATATTTCTCACAAGCTGTACAGGATCCCATGTGGAGAGATGCCATGCAAAAGGAAATTACTGCCCTGAACAAAACAACACATGGACTCTTATCAAATTACCACCTGGAAAAAGGATTGTGGACTCCAAATGGGTTTATAAAATTAAATACAAACCCAATGGCGATGTTGAACGTTACAAAGCTCGACTGGTTGCAAAGGGTTTCACTCAAGTTGAGGGGATTGACTTTCATGAAACATTTGCACCAGTTGCCAAACTCGTTACACTACGATGCATGTTAGTTGTTGAAGCTAAGTGTAATTGGATTGTACATCAGTTGGACGTTAATAACGCTTTTCTTCACGGTGATCTAGCTGAAGATGTTTATATGCGCATTCCTCAAGGCTTCATGAAAAAGGGTGATACACGCGTATGCAAGTTACAGAAATCCTTATACCGATTACGACAGGCCTCTCGTAATTGGTATAAAAAATTCACCCAAGCTCTCACCGGTATCGGTTTTTCCCAGTCTCACGCTGATCACTCTCTGTTCATCTTTCGACAGGGTCCCATACACACTTATGCTCTTATCTACGTTGATGATGTTCTTCTTGCCGGAAATGACCTCTCATATTTCCACAGTAAAAGATTATCTGGACTCCAAGTTTAGCATAAAAGACTTGGGAAAATTAAAATATTTTCTAGGTATTGAAGTAGCTCGTTCCCCAAAAGGATTTGTTTTAAGCCAAAGAAAATATACCCTTGATATCTTGGCAGAATGTGGCCTCTTAGCAGGACGTCCCAGTTCATTTCCCATGGAGCAAAATTTAAAACTGCGTCCTGACGATGATAGCCCATTAGTCGACGCTTCCTCATATCGCAGATTGATTGGGCGTCTATTATATCTAACGGTTACCCGTCCAGACATTGTTTATTCTGTTAGCCAGCTTAGTCAATTTCTCAGCAAACCACACCAAACTCATCTTGATGCTGTTATACGAGTTTTGCGCTATTTGAAGCAAACACCTGGTCAAGGAATATTTTTATCATCCGACAATGACCTTGACCTCAAAGGATATTGTGACGCGGACTGGGCAGGGTGTTCCTTCACTAGACGCTCTAGCACTAGTTACTTTATCACACTAGGAAATTCACCCATTTCTTGGAGAACAAAGAAACAATCTGTTGTTTATCAATTTTATCACTTATATTTTTATTTAGATTGAGATAAGTCATTGGTGCAAATAAGGTATAGCAATACAGAAAATAGTGTTAGGTGATATGCAAATCCTAAGGATAATATTCAAATGGGGATTGTGCTGAAACTATTCATGATGAATTGATGGTATAAGTGCTTTTTGTACCATTACGCAGTATAAAATGGAAATTTCTATATTTCAATCTGAACTTCATCTTTCACGAGCCAATACCCAGAAACTGTAAGAGATTCTGAATCTTCTTAGGTAAGTTTTGAAATGAGGAGTTAAAATACCATCAAGCTAATGGGGGCCAAATTGGTCTCTTGAGTGAACTACATGCGAAGAAAGAACGGACCTCCAAAGCCATAACATTAACAAAAGTTTACCGCTTAGTGTGCTTGATGAACAAAGAACAATAAATTCATCATTCAGTTCATTAACTAATTTAGATCTCTATTATCTCGAGTTTCATTTATTGCATATCAGGCAAATTGAAAATAAAAACTAAAGTCCGCCTTTGAGAGGGTAAACCTGATATAGCTGTGCTGAAATTGAAAAAGACAATCGAAGCAAACCTCTACGTAGCCGGAAATAGAGGACTTCTTCTTCTGTTCAAGGCGTTTTGAAAAGTTGAACCTTTGAGGCAGTTCTAGTCTTAAACCGATGGAATTGTAGCCAATTTAGTACTTTTACGGCCAATACTTTAGGCGTGTCAAATCAATGGTACTTTTTTTTGCGAGAAGTCAAATCAAGGGTACTGTTTACAAAAAAAATTGAAGATGTACTTTTATCTCAGGATACACCTCATACCGGTAATACGTCTTATTGCTATACTGTGGGAGCATCCATGGTGAGCATCATACTCCCATGGGTTAAAAATGTCATTTACTATAAAATTTCAACTTAAAAAACGCGGATGAACAGTAATTATAATTTTTGTCTCAATATTTTTCGTGATGTAAATCGTGTGCATTGAAATGTAACTTGCATCTTGCGAAATGTAATCTCAGTTATTGATAAATGTAACTCATGCACTAGAATGTAACTTTACTCTCTTCAATAGTTATTCTGTTGCCTGTTATATATCAAATGTAAATCACGTATATTAAAATGTAACTTCAGATATGTTGATATGTAAATCACGTTAATTGACATGTAACTTGTTTAACCAAAATGTAACTTTTCTGGTGCCGGTAAGGGCATCTCCATCCATGAGATTATTAGAGGATTAAGGGAGTGTTTGCAATTGCTTCAACTTTAAAAAAGTGATTTGGGGAAAAGTGATTAATAGTAAAAGTTAGTAGTGTTTGAGAAAAAAGTGATTCTGAAAAAGTAAAAGTTGGTAGTGTTTGGTAAAATAAGTACTTTTTGTGTAATAGAAAAAGTGAAAAGCAGTTTAAAGCACCCTTCCACCAGCTTCCAGCTTTTAGCTTTTAAGTGATTAATTTAAGCAGAAGTTGTCATTTGAAAACACCCTTTTTAACTTTTTTTAAGCCAAAAGCCGAAAAGTGCTTTTTTTAATCAACTGCAAACACTCCTTAAGTTGGTGATGTGGCGGATTCATTTTGGGATCATGGTTGGGTGATGGAGATTATTTAGCAAGATTATTTGAAAAAATAATTCGGGATTGAAATCGAAGTTTTATTACATTTGTCATCATTGTTTGTATTGAAATCGAAGTTTTATTTCTTATAGTGCGTATTTGATAAGTTACATTTCGAATGAACTTGAGTTACATTGATCAATAACGTGAGTTACATATCTTTACACACGAGTTACATCATTCATACAACTGAGACCAAAAAACAATTACTGTACACGCGTGTACTGTTCACACGTTACTGTTCACGCGAATTTTGTTTAAAAAATTGTACAAAACTACGTCGTTTTGGGTGTGGGAGCACAGTGCTCACCGTGTGGTGATACCACGGTATACGAACTGTGCAGGGACGAAGCACACGCTGGAGAAGATGATGACTTTGGCTGCTCTCTGTCTTGATTAATTAAAAAACGCTACCTTTTTGGGATCGGTATACCGTGCGCACGGTGTACATATCCCACGGTATAATTTGCGTCTTACACAACGGATCATATCCTTACATGATGGTCTTCGGAAACTTATGGAAAACAATTAGGGCTGAGCAAAACCCGATCCGACCCGAAAAACCTGATATTTTTTCGTATATTATCCAAATCGAAATGAATATCCGACCCGAAAAATCCGAAACCGAAAATCCGATTACTATTGGGCCTAGTCCGGGTGGCGGGTAGGGTTTGTGAAATCTCAACCCGACCCGCTCGAATATCCGAAATATATGTTAGTGTGTACTTTGAATATTTAAATTAATACTTGTGTTCAATTATTTGTGTATCTATTTGTGCAACTTGTACTAAATTATTTGGGTAAATCGAATGTGTAGTGCATAGTGTGTACAATTTTTGTCAAAGTGGCATTCCAACACTTTAATTATCCAATTATAATGTGTTTTAATATAACCAAAATATCCGAAATATATTAAATTATGTAGTGTGTACTTTGAATATGTTAAATTAATATATACTTGTGTTCAATTATTTGTGTAATTATTTGTGCAATTTGTGTTAAATTATTTGTTAAATTTGGAAGTTTAGTGCACTAGTCTGTACATTTTTTGTCAAAGTGGCATTTAAACACATTAATTGTCCAATTATAATTTTTTTAATATAACTGAAATATTTGAAACCTGACCCGATATCCGATAATATCCGACTTAAAAATATCCGAAATATCATATTTGAAATATCAAAAGGTCAGGCCTAGTATTTAAATTAAAAAACCCGAACGGGTTTAGGGTTCGCAAACCCGACCCGCCTGAACCTGACCCGTGCACACCCCTAAAAACAATTATGTTAGGGATACATGAAGTGTACAAGATGTACACACTATAAATATCTTTAATTTTTATCATTTCACTTTTACTTTTTTACGGAGTACCTCATATCTCTCCCTCTTATCTCCTCTTCTCTTTGTTCTGCACCTTTCTCCTAACCTCTTCTCACGTAACCCCTACCGGTGGGCGTAGTTCAACTGGTAGTAAGGTGCGTACAAGGGTTAGGTCTCGGATTCGAATCTCGGCAACTGCGATGAGAGGTTACATGCTAAAAATGCATAGGGCCTCTACAAGTACTGGGGACAGAGCCCTACTCTCTATCTGTCAGATTGTGATTATAGTTCAATTTACATCCTTCCATCGTGCCGTTCGGTCGGTGTTGGTGGGTCCTCAGGGATGGGGTGTCATCCTTTTTTTTTCTTCCCACGTAACCCCTATTTCCCCTCGCTTTCTTTTTCATCATTTTCAATCCTCTTCCAATTTCTCTCTAACGTAACTCCTCTCATGTAAGCTCTAGTTTCTCTAAGTGCTCGACCATTTTCTGGAACTATCAATCTTGAGGTAAATATCTATTCTCATTTTTCATGTGCATTTTAGGGTTTTTATCTACTTTTCTTTATTTCATAAATATTATATATGTTATAACAACAAATAATAATTTATTATATTGTTGGTCCCGGTTATCAAGGTAATAGTCTAAAGGGGGTGAATAGACTGTTATGGTTTTTAACTTTTTCAGGCTAATTACCAAGGTTAACGGAATAGCCTGTTTTGTTGGAGAACAGACTGGCAGCATATGGTCTTCTGGTAAGTGTTCTGACAAGATAGTCTCACAGAGGAGTAAAGGCACTAGGCCTTCTGTTAATTCACAAGAGGTGTTCTGCTGAACACAGATACCACGTCTATGGAGTTAAACAGTTCAAAACTAAACGCAAGAATTAAAAGCAGTAAGTAAATGACACCAGGGATTTTTATAGTGGTTCAAGGAACAACGTGTTCATCTAATCCACTGTTCCACTAAGCTTTGAAGTAAACTGTTACAAAGGTTTAGTCCTAGCACTTAGGAAGCTCTCCATGTCTTCTTCAAGTGTAGATGTCTCCTTGGATACACTTCCTTGCTTCCTTTAAGACTGGTCGTCCTTTCACTGAACTTCCTTGAAGTATGCCCACTTCACTCCAGTTACTTGGATGCCCTTCTTTGAAAGAAGATGTTTGTCAAAACTGAGTTTTCTCCAACTTGCTTCGTCACAAAAGATTTGTAATGAGGTGCTTGAAGTGTTGAAGAATTTGAGGGACTTTTCTCTTGTTGGACGATGAAGAGTATGTGAAAATATAATCTTTCCAACGTAAGCTTTTCTTGCTTGATGAGGTTGGAGTTTGAATCTCAAGAATGCTTGTTTTGATGTTTAGAGCAAAAGTTATCCGGCTGTTCTTCATGAAGTATCGTATATACTAGGGTTGTTTTTCCCGTTGGAGGAGGAAAGCAACTTCATTAAATGCGTGTACTGTAGAGTTGACCGGTTGGACCCACAAAGTTGGTGGCTTGCTATTTTTGTATAATATTTTTGATGGAGTATATGGCCCAGGAACCCCCGGCCCATAGACTCCTATTTCTCCTACACAAGTCCATTGAGCTCAGGAAACAACTCAGGCCCAAATACAACGGCCCAAGCCTCAAAGTAGCCCAGAATGCACACTGAAGTGCCTTCGGCCTCCTTGGCCGAAGGCTCCAGAACTCACAGGACAGCCTTCTCTGACATAAGAAGATACGGGGAGAAAACGGGCGAAAACATGAGCCTTCGGCATTTTCATGCCCTCGGAATCGGAGAAGCCCTCGGCTACACAAGGAGCCCTCGGCTACACAAGGAGCCCTCGGCTACACAAGGAGCCCTCGGCTACACAAGGAGCCCTCGGCTACACAAGGAGCCCTCGGCTACACAAGGAGCCCTCGGCTAAACTGGCTCAATCATCGAAGATTCCTTTTAGAGACAGCCAACCACCGCATTTAATGCCGCGTCGCATCCACCAACCGCATTCAATGCGGTTGACGTACCACTGCCGGTGCCACCAGGCTGATGTGACCCTTCGGCCGTTGGATTACTGACACGTGTCCTCTCATCGCATTTATTGCTGCTATAAATAGCAGCTCATTTCTCCTTGTAAAACACAATCTACATCCCAACTCCACACGCTGAGTTCATTTAATAAAATCGACTCTCTCTCCTCCTATTTACTCTGGCTTCTCTCTAGTTATTCCCGCAATAACCCCTCGGATAAGACACCCCCCGGGGAGACCATCCATCATTTGGTGCTCTCGTTGAGAGGTTGAACACAATCAAGTGAGAAAACCTCCCAATCAACCAAAAAATTCACCCAAATCACAAAAAATCGAGCAAAAAACAGTCTGTCAGAAGAAGAAAAGAATGGACTCCTGAGTTGGGTGGAGTGGGAGCCGCAGGAACCACCCATCGATTCTGCCATAACTGCAGACCTCGTCCTCACCGCCTGAGGCTCACCCGCCAAACGCAGTTTCCAAACTGGGATTAGGGACTCCTAGATCTGAAAAAATCAAGCCTTACAAGCCCAGCTCGCTCTGGCCTCCACCGCCGTTCACTGCTCTATCCTCTGTCAGTCCTCCCAGCTTACGCTGCTATGTCAGAGGGATGGCCTGGCTCGTTCCAGTGACCAGACGAAGGGCTCCCCAGTCACGCAGGGCTGTGTCACGCGGCTATCGTCTTCCTAGAAACGGCCCAAGAAACGGCAGCTCCGACGAATTGACCGGTCAACGGCGACGAACAGCTAACTCCTTCCCCTGCAACGCGGTGCCGCCTCCTGTCGCCCTTAACT